TAAATATCAATATAAATATATATAAATATAAATATAAATATAAATATATATAAATAAATATAAATATAAAATAAAGATTATAAAACATCTAAAAATTAATTTTTAGATGAAAAATACTTAAATTAACAATACAAATATTTGTTTTACTTTTAAATTAAAATATTGAGAATTACATAATTTCTTTTAAAATGTTTTTGTTATTGTACTGATTCAATTTTATAAAATTTAAATAAAAGAAATAATTGTATTCTACGTAAAATAAAATTTTACCTATTAATGAATTGAAATTTGTTAATTTCCATAATGAAGTTTAATTTTAATAATTTGTCATGAGTATGATTATTTAAAAATATATACAATTAAAAATATTAAATTAATGAGAATGTACATTGTAGATTGGCAAATGCAAATTATTTTATAAATAATTTATTACGTACTTAAAGTAAAATTCAAATTTGAATATATATAAATTTTAAAAGATACTTCAATATTATTATTGAAAAATATAAATATGAAAAGTGATTTTTTAAATCTACTAATTTCCATATCATAAATAAAACATTCAATGAGTTATCGTAAACTTATGACTCGTGTTTGTTTCTTTTATATATATGTATATTATGATAAAAATTTTTTACAATAAATATATAATAAAAATATTACGTTAATAATATGGAATGCTTTACAAAAGATTAAATTATAAAGTTATTTATTTAAATATTTAAGTATTAATATAAAATTGGTGCATGTATTATATAATTACAATTATATAATTTTTTATTCTTGGTTAGTGTTGATGCCAATGGTTTTCTTCATATTTCTATTATAGAATATTTTTTATTTTATTGCATAATTAACTTTATAACGTATATTTTTAAAAAAAATTGCAAAAGGTATCTTTATAAATTGATTTAAATTGATAATGAATTATATACAGTATTAATTTTCCTATTATTATTAATAAGACATCAAACTATAGAGTATAGTGACGATTACTTTCAATTTATTTAATTTCTAAAAACTCATAGTCGTTTAAAATAAATTTATTAAATAATAACATTTGATTAATTTTGTGATTCTTATGTATAAATTCTGATCTACATGTACTTATTTAAATGTACACATAATATTGTTTCAATAATATTTTGAAAATCATAGAAAAACCAAAATCATGAGTTTACTATTATTTTTCATGCTATCTTGCTCTCTGTATATTGAAAAATAAGGTTTTTATCATAATAAGAATCTGTTTTTCAGTTAATTGCTCTACATAAAAAATAGTACCGAAAATGAAAACGAATTTTATTACATATATAATCTATAATACAGTTATTTTAATAAATATTTTCATTACATTTCAGTATTTTGTACGCAAAAAGTATATATTTCAAAATTAATACTAAATATATAAATAATACTAAGTATATACAAAACCTAAAGTTCTCGATGAAATAAATTTAAAAATGAAGAAAAGGAATTTAAAAATTACGTGCTGAACTTTGTGCAAGCATCCAATTATCTACAATCATCGTAAAGTTTCAATACAAATCAATGGCTAACCTTGCAATTATTATAACTTAATGTTCATCGATGGAAAATGCATATTCACCTTTTTTTTATAAATAAACACAGTTAAATGTGAGAATTATTATAAGAAGAAGAAGATCACATTAACGGAATATCTATCATTTTGAATAAAAAATCGTAATATTCAAGATTATTCGTGCAAGTCAAGGTCTCATAGCATCGTCAATTTACGCCCGAAGAAGTGTAAACTCTACACCAAATAGCTGTCGGTATACATCTTCTAACCTTGCGAAGCCATTTGCTTTGGAAAACAAGCATCTGTACAATCTGTAAGACAAAAGAGCCGCGTGTAATTGGCTTAATTGCTTAGTCGAGAATATGACTTTATCGTTCGTTGGACATCAATTCAATTCTGCGAGAATGATCACTTTCATGTGAACAAAACGATTCTTGTCGGCCTGTCATTGTCACCATTAAATGCGCGCATACCTATACTTATTAACAAGTTAAAATTTCGAACAAATATTTCAAGCAACTGCTGATTATGTACTGAAAAAATTGAACGAAACAAATTTATTGTATATTTCATCCCACCATAGAATTAAACACGATTTGTAGGTATCAAATGTGTAAATGTACTAGTATAAAATACTGATATATTTATAAATGAAAATTTACGTTTACTGATGTCATTTACTTAATATGAAATATCTGATAAATATAAAATTTTATGCGTAATTATAATATATTATACACAAACGAAATTTTCATTATTGAATTTCCACTAATGAATTTCGAAATTTCGTTTTCTTTATCAGGTCGTTATTGTGATTAGAATTTGATATAATCTATGAAATCTATTACGTGCCATATATTTTGTGAACAATTTTAATAACCATTAAATAAATCTTGAATTAAATGTTTAAATAAGAACATCTTAGAATGTAACTATTGGAATGCAATTTGGATTAATTTTTATTTTCTTCTTCTAATCTAAAAATTGTGTAAAAATGCATATAAAAAAATTTATATTATACCTTGTTTTCTTCTAATACACTTACGTAGATAAACACGCACACGCACACACGTATATATATTTATATATATATATATGACAAACAGAGCTGCCAAATATGATTAAAGAAAGTTTATTATTTTTTTTGCGAATAAATAATAATGAACGAATAAAACTTTAGCAGCTTCAATTTCATACTCTTAATAATGGCACGATGCATTTCAATAATTTATATCTTGAAAGTATAAATAATCTACCTAAATAAAGAATATGAAAAATAAGCACTACTATATATTAATTATTTAGTAAACATTATTACTTCGTTGTAACGTTACTTCTCTTTTACGTTATATAATGATATAATAAATGAATACTTAGAATTATACTACTTTGAATATAATATATTTGAACATTACCTAGAATTTCTCTTTTTCTATTACTATTTTACTATGTGTATGAATATAAGTTACTGAATAATATATTCGAAAATTTTCATTGCATGTTATTATCTTAAAAACTATCTTTTAATATCTTTATCTTTTTATAAAAACTTTTAATAATTACACGTCTGTGAGAATTTAAAAAAATAAAAATTTGCAAAAATTGTACAAATCATTATTATAAATACTAAAAATAATATAAGAGCAAATTTAATAAGATATATTTTTAAAAATACTATACATTTTATATAGAATATTGAAAGTACAATAATAATTCACAGTAATACAAAAGCAGTTATTTATTTTTTTATTTTCTTTATGAAGGTAAAATGGTATAAGCAAATGTGCCTATAAGATATCAAATAAATGTAAATTATTTTGTAGCTTGTAAATGTTCTTATTTATGATTTTATATGAATTTTATATAATAAAAATTAATAATTTTATTCTATTGATAACTAGAATTCTTCTACTATTTATTAGTATACATTGGTATCGTAATAAATAATGAATAAAAAAATATTTATTGGAATAACTAGTCTTAAGTATGTTTAATAAAATGATTGAGCCTTAATCTTTTTGATCGGAAAAAATAGATACTACGTCATGTTTTATTAGATGCTTTATAACTGCCAATTTGAAGATATATTCAAACGCTTCTGTTTATGTCACATAAGCAAATTAAATATTATGTTTACATTTGTTGTTAAGCAACTAATAAATTAGTATTCTATTTATTTCTGATATTCTATTTGTACTATTATGTCTTTTAATTTTCGTTTTTTTATTTTTATCTATATATAACCTGTATTATTGTATAGATTATGACACAAAATTATTTAGTTCTTTCTATGTGGCTTCAAAAAATTTGTCGATAATTTTATGGGTTAAATTTGTTTTTCAACGAAGTTTATAAATTATTTATCAAGTAGCATCAATCTGATGTACTAATTAAAATGAAAATATTTTTATACTTTAATTTTATCGAGTACCACGGTGAAGATAAATATAACATAATGATTACTTCGGCAAATACATTAAGAACAAACACCTTTGCAGCATACATTATTGTATTAAAAGAAATGAGCGCTAGATGTATTGTGTACATTGATAATGCAGCCATAGAGAATTTTATTTCAATTATAAAAAACAAAAAATCATATAAATAAAAAATCGCGTAATTTTTTAATTAATTAAAAGTTATCCTTAAAACATTTCTATTATATCGATTTTTACAAGACTTATTTGTTTATATTAGTATTGGGAAGTGGGAACTCTATCTTACATTGTAGATTAAATAAAATTTACGTAAAACCGTAATAACATATGATAATGGCTCTTCTAAACTTTTCGAAAAAATATTTATTAATAAAAATTATGTGAGTGCGTATGCGCGCGCGCGCACACATTTGTCTGCTAAAAAATATTATAAATACACAAATGTACACATTATTAAAGTAATCTGATCTTTTTGATTGAGCTACTATCTTTCTTGCGATAAAAGATAAAAGCCATAATATTGATAATAGCATACTACTGTTAGCTTAAAAGAGTTTTAATAAAGGAGTAACACAATTTTTTTCCCTCCCGTTAATTGCATTCTACGAAAGGCGTATATTGTTCTAATAAAAAATTACGCTTCGAAAGAGCGTTTACCAATTGATAATATCTTTATCTTAGCGCTGCTCGTAGCGAACAATAAATCTCTCCTTCCTCGATACTCCACAAAGATTCGTTACAGACTTACGGCCAATTAAGCGACTCTCGCGATTCTCGGCTATAATACGCGTGGGGCTAGCTCCACGTCGTTGGCCGACATAACCTATACCACGAAGATGATCGCACGCGCAGCCGATTAGTCGTATTCCCCGGCGTCTCACCGAACAAACGTAAACAGTATCTCGTCGTCGCTCGGTGCCCTGCGCCTGCGCAGTCACGCGCACTAGTCTGTTACTACTGGGTGTGCGCTCAACAGGTGGCGGCCGTCGTGGAACAAGCGCAAACACATGTGCACGCACCTGCCAGTGTAGGGTGCGCGGCTCTTGAGCTCGTAGTACATGAAGTCCTGGGTAGAAGGTAGTAGGGCCAACGCCTGCTCGAGATCGTTGCTGTACTCCAGCTCGAGACCGTCGTTGCTCACGAGGGCGGCGAGGTCGAAGCCCATGTCGATGCCCGACTCGTCCATCTCCTCCTCGCACTTGTGATCACCACTTAATCACTCACGCGCGTTCGCTTCTTCCGTGCTCGTCGCGCGTCGCACTTCGTGTGTGTCGAGGACGAGCCGAGAAATTCGGTTGACCTCTTTCAGGACGCGAGGAGGCCGAGATGGCGCGGCGGCGGCCGCTCCACCACGTGACGTCCGAGGTCAACGACGTCGCTCCTGGAGCTCTTTTGCGCTGGCTCGCGCTCGGTCGGCTGAGAGCGAAGAGAAGCCGCGAGTGGCACATTCGTTCTCGACTTGCCGCTCTTTGATTATCGAAGGCAAGGAGAAAGAGCGAGAAGCCCGTGCCGACAGCTAAGATTGTGACCAAGTAGCTTTTGCCAGCGGGTTTCCTGGCGGCATCTAGCGTCAATCGAGATAAGCGACCCAAGGCTGTTCTACTTGTGCTTCAAGGAGTTGCGAGCAAATATTGCAGTCTCCCCCGAGGGGCGAAATGGACGTTGCGAGAATGATATCGATGCTTTTGGGTTGAGTTACTGCGCGGTCATATGGCACTACCTTGATATGAGTTTATCGCGGTGTATTCGTCTATGTAGAATTATCTTTATGCAATAGCAGTAAAGGTGAAGAAAAAGAAATACAACAATTAGAAATTTAAGAAATTCGCGATACCTATCATCAATCAATTATTTTTAAATTTTCAATAGCGATGAGCATATCAGTCATACGACTATATAATTAACGATATTTATTCAATAGACATACTCAAAGCTTGATAATATATATAATACGGAAAAAAATATTTTCGACAAAAAGATTATTATATTAAGATTTACTAGTTCTTGATAAGATTAGACATTCAACTGATTCCCTGCAATATTTTAATTTATTCCTCAGATAGAGAGATGAGACTCAATTTGAGGATTTTTAAACTCGTTTTTTTTTTTTTTTTATTATCGAAAACATAAAACTTATAATCTTATGAGATATGTACATGACGACGGTAGACTTTGAAGCACATATTATAATCTTCATGATAAAAGGTTTCACAATTTCTCTACAAAATGTAAAGCATTGTATTTAAAACGATGCCCTTGGTCCATCGTTATATGCTTGGGCAATGATTCTCAATAACCTGATATTTATTGACGGTCCGGTTCTATATAATCAGAGGCTTTTTAAAAAATAAGTATATAATGCTCTCAATTGTTGGCGCTCAATAAAGGATATATATATTTAAACATATATAATGTACTACTAATAATTCTTATTACATCATAAATATAAATGAATAAATTATTAAAAATAAACAATTAACTATAAAAAGAAAATAAAAAATAATAATAAACTAATATATGTTATTAAATTTAATTTTTGAAATATTGCAAATTTCTGTGGTTAAAAACTGATCACGTAAAGGACTATGTATTTATCCACAAACCCGACGCGAATCATTTTATGGCGAAGCAATTTAGTTCGTTAATTTGATAAGAAAATCAGATGTATAAGATTATTCAAATTATTATATATTATAATGCAATGCATTACATTATACATTGTATAGGATATCAATTGTTATAGTACAATATTGCAAAATTACCATAATGTATAAAATATAAAAAAAATTTAATCGCATAAGCTTATTTGTAATAGTTAAAATTAATTGAATTATCATTAACATAGCATCATAATTACGGAACATATGTATTTTTATTTCATTATACATTTAATTAAAATATTATGAACGAAATCATGAATAAGTTAAAGTTTGTAGAATTATTAAGTTTTATATTAAAACGAAATTATATATTTTAATAATTCAATATTATATGCTATAAAATAAAATTATTAACATAAGTTATAAACAAATTGAATTTAAAATTCCTTGCATAATATAAGTGATTTTTTTTTTAATTTTCTTTTATAGAGTTTGCCAAGTTAATTAAAAACATTATTAAATAAAAATAATATTCGTGTAGTGACGGTTAAAATAATATATAATTAATAAACCATATACAAATGTAATCTGTTTTATAAATATATCAGTAATATTTTTTCAATATTTCTCAATATTTATAAATGAGTTTTTAGTAAGTGCAAATCAAAATCTTATTATTACAATTAACTAAAAACAATCGTAAAAAAATCTTTCGAAAAGTACTTAAAAAACATATATATTCATCATAAAATCCTCCTCATTGATTATTTCAGTATATGTTATTTTTATTCAGTCCCGTTGACTCCAATATTGAGCATCTTTATTTGTCATCATATTGACAATGTAGTGGAGCATGATGCAGCTAATATATTTATAGGAATAATAAATTCTGTACAGCTATTATTTCTCAATAGGCTCAAAAGGCAATAATGGATTATGGATATGTGCATACCTACGTAAACACATGTCTAACGCATCCTTTAGAAATAATCCTGAACATAATGATGAATGCTGCAAGCCGCGTTTCAGCTACGTTGGGTCACATGACAGTTTTATTGCCACTCGTTAGATTGCGTAGTTAAATGGCAAGTAAGGAGACGAAATAAATTAATCTGGTATAGAAATGGATTTCGTACAAAAATATTTTTCACCATTATATTTTATATAGTAGTTAATGTACCACTATACTGAAAAACATCATTTACTTATCTATTACTGTAATTGCAGAACTAGATATTACGTTTTGTTTAATAATTGATATAAGTATACTTATAATATTTTAACCGCAAAATTTTTTATAAACGTTAATTAACAGAGTAACTTTTTTTATTATAAAAAATTGAGTGACAACCATAATAGAATTTACATGAATTACAAAATAATAAAATCATATATTTCATATAAAAGGAGTATATTCAAAATTTACGTGATTTAGCCATTTTATACATAAAAAAAAATTAAAATTAATTCTCTTTAAATAAAATTTCAACTACATTATCATATATATTCTATATATTTTTCTGAAATAAATGACATTCACTGATTTAATTCTTTAAAAATTGATTTAAACATTGACTTAACAATTAAAAAATCATCTACATATTTACTTTAATAAGAAATTTATATTAAATGCTTACGTTTTTATAATCAGTAGCTTAATGTATTAAATTAATTCACACTGGAATTCGAATTTTATTAATTCTTTATACCAATGTTATCAAACAACTATTGTTTCCGAGTACACAACCACTTATTAATTTTTATTCATTTTTATTCTTTATCCTTTAGACTTTAAAAATCTAATTACATAAGTTGCTAAAGTAAGAAAACTATAAAGAATCATATCATATAAAATTTTAATCGTCAGTTATAATTCATAATTTTACAGCTATGATATCAATAATTATTTATTTTTAAATGTTTTTGAATATAGATAATATTTAATTTTAACAAAATTAAAACCAAAGTTATTTAAACAATATTTTAACTACGTTTTTTATTTCGTTATATGCAAATTCTAAGGACCCTATCAAGTAATTTCCAATTAACGCATTAAATTTCTCACTCAATATTACATTATTATAATTTTTTATGAAAACCACTGATTTTGACGGATAGGATAAATCACTACTTCATTCGTTTATATATTCACCTATTAGTTGAATAGAACATTCTTTAATGTGTTGTAATGTTCTAAAATCAAAATACACATATACATGTAGTTATTAAATTATTCAAGCTTTCATAAATACTGTTATAAAAAAAAACTTATTTGCCATAAATGATATGGTTTTAACTAATAATTACAATGGTAATTTTGTAAATTACGCTAATTGCGAAAATATAATTTTTTTTACTAATCTTTAAGTTTTAAATTGTTCACGGATACTAAAACTAAAATCACCTTTGTTTATAATAACTCAAATATTATTTTCTAAATACAGTATTGCGCATTATATATTTTATGTCACACGGTTTCCATATACATAAAAATCTCGTCTTATCTCACTAGTGACCCAGAAGAAAGTGCCAATAAAATCAAAGCAGAAAGAAGCGACGACACGGAAGTACTGTGGTAATGAAAACGAGCTAATGTGATCAAAACAGCAAAATGCACTCGTTCAGCAAAAAATAAAGCACCCGTTTCATGTTTATCTTTATGCAATCGCGCATATACATGGAGGAAGTATAAGCATTGAAGAAACAATGTCCAAAGCTCGCGACACTTCGGAGCATCTCACACAAATAGTATGGAGTTTCCCGGATGGCCAGCTTTCACTTGTCTGCTGATCTACATCGTCGTCACCAGCGATGTTCTTGGAAAACTACCCCCCAATATCTCCGACCGCCTCAACGAATACTGGCTTGTGTACAAGGTGCTATAAATGGTTCGAAGTAATTTAACCTCTGAAGTGCGAAAATACTCATTAGAGAGATAGATAGATAGATAGATAGATAGATAGATAGAGAGAGAGAGAGATAGAGAGAGAGATAGAGAGAGAGAGAGCCAATGAGAGCTATAGATAGAATACAAAATTATGTCTGGATTTGAAGATAACGAGACTTTTCAGGATGTAACTAACTATCTACATGAAAGTTCCTTCATTTGAGTGTTTTTAAAATAAATAAAGTGTGATATACATAGAAACGAAGATTTTTTCCGATTTTTCATTCTTTACGTATTTTAACAAAAAAATTATCTCAATATCTAAAAATATATCTAAACATCTAAAAAAAAATTAAAGTAATTGTGTACAAACAATAAAATTGTGTTTTCAACTAAAAATTTTATTCAAATCAATATTATTTACATAATTTATTTATTACATAATTATAGCATAATTAATAATAATTATATACAAAATTATATGTTACTTTATATATTCATTGTTTTTTTAATATTGAATTTTACCTTTTTATATAAATTATATAAAACTATCCTGTATTAAATTTAATTGAAATTAATTTAATTTAATTATATATATATATATATATATATATATATATATATATATATATATATATATACATATATATATATATTATATTATATTATATATATTATATATAACTATTTTTATATAATTTATATATATAACAATTATATATAACTATGCTTTTTAAATAAAAAAATATTATTATAATATTACAGTTAAGAATAAAAATGTACAATTATAATAGAAATATATATATGAAAACTTTATAATTTCATAATTATATAATACTTTTATAAATATAACATACGTTTTATGATTTCTAAAGTATAAGATAATCTTAGCATAAGAAAGCATAAGAAAATCTTATGAATAAAAGTGAATATAATTCGTTCATTCAAATTTGATATTTTCTTTTTAAAAAAATCTATACTTTTCCTTCTTACTATCTTGTTCTCAATATATCCGTTACATACGCATTCCTTTAAATCAGGAATTAATATGTTGAAATGTTCTCACCCTACTACCTTTTTTTAATCAATATCATAATTCTCAAATTTATACGGCCATTTTTTAACCCACATTAATATATTGTTGTATAAATATTATAAAATACTTTCTTGCGATAACTTACAAATTAGATTCTCTTTTAAAGCTAGAAAAATCTCTTTTATAATAAAAAATTTTCATATTTCTTATTTTCATAATTTAATAATATATTAGTAAAATATTAATAAAATTAATATTGAACTATATTTGTAAAATCATTTGTATTACTGAAAATGTTAGCGATTATTAATTAAATTTAAAAATAATTTGTACTATTTAAATATATACTGTAGTTAAGATGAATTATGAATTTATTTTTTAAGACGGCATGAAAATCATAGAATATTAAGCTTCTCTCAGAAGAGTTGAAACTTTATTTAAACAAAGTTATTTCTATTATTTTAAACGGAGAATGAGATTTCATAGCTTTATATAAATGGTATTGGTGATATTAAAGTACTTATTTAAAAAGGCATGAGTAAAAGCTGTATTTATAACTATTTAAAAACTGCTTAAATAAAATTTGAAAAATTTGTAGTCGTTGGGTTAAAGAATTTCGTTTATCTTCAATTTCATAATTAATGTTTTTCAGCGATGCATGAACAAGATCTTACATTTATAATGTTATATTTTAACATAATACAAGAGAACATAAACAAATGTAAATAACTTTTTTTATTAATAAGACTAAACAAAATAAAAAGAAATTGTTTTTTTATACAAATTATAACTATTATATTTGAGAAATGCGTGACGAAGCAAAATTTTAAAAGGATCGTCTGTTCGTAGGCGAGATACAACAAAACGTATACGGAACGAATAGAGACAATCAGACGCACTGCCTGGGAAGACAATCTCATCAAGATTTATGAGCATAACTTGATGGCAGCTGCTGGGCACCATGACTACATACTCAGAGACAATTACATCGCCGATCTCGATACGGCAACATATATTAACAACTTGGTACGTGTAAGATTATATCCATGAATGTGGATGCACTCTCATATTTGGCCAAACAAAATAGTTTTATAAGTTTAATTAACTAAGTTGTTACGAAGTTGTTCGAGAGCGAAGTTAAATTAATTAAAGCGGTTGTTATGATTTCAATCATATATATATATATATATATATATATATATATATATAGGTTATTAATTACTTCACTATTATGATTATTACCATTTATGTTATTACATTAAAGTTTGACATTTTCAGTGTATACATTATCAAGAATATATTGCAACAATATATTAGATCAAATAAAACACTAACTAAATGGTAATATTAAATTGTGAGAAACATTAACATTTTTCAACTTATTCATCCGCTACATTTATATTGTACTAATAACGAGTAATCTATTTCCTCATTAAATATGATAATAATTTACTGTTATCGTTCCATGTACTTCACTTTTTTACTAAGTTGTGGAGGTGTGATGTAAGTAAACGCTTAATTAAAAAGCACTGTAGCTATAAAAGAAAACTGCATGGTATGCGACAGTAAAAAACAGGAAATTACCTATTCTAAATAAAATTTATGTTCTATGAAATTAATTTTAGTAAGTTTATTGTTATACAGTTTTATAATTTCTTAGTACTTAGAGTGAAATGTATTTAACAATATTTTTTATATCGAATAATCAAAATAATTTCTGGATTTTTTTTTCATGTTATTAGTGCTTGTTTAACATTTAGGCAGATGGAAACATTTTTCGTATTTTTTTTTTATCAAAAATGATATTGAAATTCATATAGATTACAAAAAATAATAAGGATGTTCATTTAATTTAAGACAAATTGTCTATATATATATATATAAATACCAAATGAGAAGAAAAAGTTCTGATTAAGATAAAATACAAAATAAAATAAAATTTTATATTAAATTTTAATCAGGACTATTATCAGAGATAATTAATTATTTCAATGCACTTTTATCATTATCAAAACAGATTCAATTAATCTACACATTTGTTTAACTTATAATATTATCGCTGGAACTTTTATTAAATATATTATTGTTAAATATATATTAATAAATATCTATCTCTACCTTATTATAATGTCTATTATTATAGGATTTAAAAATTAAAAATTTCTCATTTAAGAACTACTAATGATTCACTCTAATCTTTGCCGTACTTTAATTTTATTGCTGTAGTGAATTCCAAAAATATATTGTAATTACTCAAATTTTATATTGGCTACATCAATCGGCTTCTAATTATTCGAATATTCTAAATGTGAGTCCTGTGTACAGGTGAAGCTTATGCCTAGTCGACGGCGACGTCTCGGAGACGACGAAATAGTCGCCGGAGTCATGCAGGACCCGCGACTCGTACCCCGGGAGCTCGACTGGCGTCAGCGAGGCTTCGTTACAAAACCGGAAAATCAGCGGGATTGCGGTAGCTGCTACGCTTACAGCATTGCTGGAAGCATATCCGGTCAGATATTCCGATGCACGGGTGTCGTGGTGCCTCTAAGCGAGCAGCAGCTCGTCGATTGCAGCGTACAAACAGGAAACCTCGGCTGTGTGGGAGGCTCGCTTAGGAATACACTGAGGTACCTCGAGCAGTCGAAGGGCCTCATGGCTGACCTCGCTTATCCGTACACGGCCAAGGTCAGTCATCCTCTATATTTCGCCTTGGAGCTTTTTAGTCAAGATCAGTAGGCATAAAGTACGGTGGATGGATTTTCGAATAATTTTCAGATTTCTGGATCATTAAGTCAACTAATTTTTTTCTTTTTCATGAATTGCTATTGCATGTTAATGGGAGCAGGTTACGTATTTTATATAACATAAGATTATTCATTATTTTATATTATATTGTTATATCTATATAAATATTATATATATATATATATATATATAATAAGGGATCTTTTTAGTTGTTAAGTTTTTTATTACTTTTCTTTTATACAAATTATTCCTAATATTACATCATGCTATGACTTAAGGAAATATTTATAAAAAATTATTTTTAATATAAGTAATATAAATTAACATTAATTTGCAATAAAATTGAAAGTTTTTGATGTTTTTAATTTTATCTTATTTTTTCCGTTTAAAATTCTTCAAAACTTATCGATATCCATAAACATTCGCCCATTCATGGTTAGATTATTAGTCTAATCTACTTCTATAATTTTACAATCCATTCCACACTTTGTAACGTCATTTTCTATTTAAAAACATAGGGAACTTAAACATTATTCTACCTATCTAATAAACAATTATACCTTTTGAAATTATTGTATAAAATTGTTATTATTATAAAGTAAAATATCAGTAATAGAAATATTATGGTTATAAATAATAGAATGTTAAAAATGATTATCCCTATAGTTTTTTTTGTAATATAACAAACTTATTATATAAATACAATAAATTAAAAATTAATATTCATTTATGTAATAAAGGTGTTTAAAAGAAGCGTCTAATAATTTTATTTATTCAGCTATATTTCGTTCCTTTATAATGACTCAGCAGTATTTTCTTATTATTTTTAAAGTTTTGGCTATTACTAAATTAAATTTAAATTTTTATATATATATATATATTTTAATATATATGTGTGTATGTGTGTGTTTGTAAGTTGAATATTCTCTATACATTTCAATATAACCAGTTATTAAATTTTTCACTGGAAATGGGATCAACGAAAATTGAGTTTTTAAGTAGTTTTAAATACAAATCGATCGTAACAATTTCTGAATAGGTATTTAAATATTTCGTATAGACATATTAATGTTTAAATATATTTATACCACCTTATTATACAATACAACATTTAATCATATATTTCCTATATAGTTTAAAATAATGATATTAATCTTACATTCATATTTATAAAATGTTTACATAGATATATAGATCTTTGTCATAGAATCGACAAATTATAAATTATATAAATGATTCAGATGTATAAAAATTTTTTCTAAATTAAAGTTTCTAAAATAAAGTTTTTTCTTCTTATACTTATCGAATACCAAAAATGGTTTTCACAGACACTTGGAAATGAATTGTTACATAGAACTTTTTAACAGCTCTTTCTGCTTTTTATCGACAAGCTGTCGTTTTCTCGCTTGTGCAAACCGAAAAAGTTACAAATACGATTAACGTGCATTACGCGTTCGTCATTTTCTCTCGATTTTAAAAAATTCAACATTTCAATTGTTGAAACAATTCCCGGTTGTTTTAAAAATTATAAATATTAACAATCTATAAGAAAATGAACTGACTATATATATATTAATATATATATTACTTAAAAAGAATTATAGTTATAAAAGTGCAATTTCTAATCTATTAATTAAATCTATTTTAGAATACTATTAATGATCCAATTATTATTATTAAATTAAAAATGAATAAATTTGTATTCTAAATGCTTTTATAAATAATGCATAAATATATAATTGAATAATTCATAATAATTTATGATAAAATTTAAGTTCTTATGAAATTTTTATACCTAATGATCTGCAGAGAAATGATTAGAGAAATAGATAGAAAGAAAAGATTAATTGATATAATAAAATTACTGATTTATATATTTATTTACTCTACTTTATCAAATCAAATTCTAATTTATTAATCAAGGTTTAATTCATATAATTATATTGCTGATTTATATATTTATTTACTCAAGCTGAATCTGTATGAGCACGTATTTTAATAGGTACATATATGGTTTATATTTGACAGACTTCATTTTTAGCTTTTTTATAATTTTGAGAAAATTTTGCACAATTTTTTGAAAGATAAACTTTTAACACAAATGAGATGAAATTAATAGCTTCAAGTCTAATAATAATAGATGTATAATACGGTTGATAAAGTAATAATATATACTATAAAATACTGATTTACATTTTCTGACCTCAAGCAAGGCACATGTAAGTTTCAAAAGAACTTGAGTGTGGTAAACATCACCTCCTGGGCAATTTTACCAGCACGTGACGAGAGAACTCTCGAAGCCGCGGTCGCAAATATTGGACCAATAGCTGCCTCCATTAATGCAAGTCCCAATACATTTCAACTATATCAGTAAGTAATTTATAATCTAAGAAGTATAATAAAATATAAGAAAGAAAGATAATTTTAGATGCTTTTCTAACTTCTAATCACATACACATACTTTCCAATAATGACTAAGATATAGTTTTATTAACGAGAAAAGAATAAGTATTAACAATTAATCGTCTTCATTCTTTAAAAGTATTTATGAAATAAGAAAAATTATTTTAATAATACAATTCATTTTAATTAAGAATCAAATATGTCAAAGGAATAGGTTTACAAATAAATTTCGTGTCCTGTGATTTATTGACTTTTTAAATAAGTTTATATCAAATAAAAATAAACTTTAATTTCATTATAAATTTGTTGTTATGTATGTATATTTACATAATTATATTCATTGTAACATAAATGCTATTTTGTATAAAACGTTCTTTTTGGAAATTTACAAATTTTAAATTTAAATTTATTATAAGAAACTTTAATGTGTCTGGACCTGTATATATATATATATATATTAAAAATATATTCAATGTATACTTATAATTAATATTTATAATTGCAACAATATTTAACCACGATCTGTTAGTATTTTGACAATTGCAATTATTCTGTTTGTTTTACATCTACATTAATAGTATAATAGATTGAACGGTGAAGTATTTTTTAACATCACATTTTTAAAAATTGTTTATAATATAATTTATTAATATATGAAAAAATGAAAAAAATTTTAAAGTACTATTAATTTAACATCTACAATTTTTATTGTAAGAATAAATCAGCTTATGAAGTCAAGATATATTAAAATTTTTATAGTAAATGAACAATATTAAATCTATTATTAAAAATTTATGAATAAATTCTTTATAATAAATAATCATTTTATAATAATTAATACAATTTTAAATTAATAAAATTTATATAATTTATATTTTTATTTATCCAAATTTTTCTTTACTTTTTTTAAGATTTCAAGTAAATCAATTGTATAATTGATATGCATGTACTAGCTTTTTTTTATCTTCATTAATAAGCCAATTTTAGTAATAATATAAGTATAAAAACATTATATTAATATGGGCTTATGAAAGTAGTAAGATTCATCCATTGAAAAATATAGAAGCTATATTATTAATGATTGAAACACCTTTGATAAAAATTTCGTCTGTCTGACATTTTTATTTTATTGAGAGCACGTTTTAATAAATATACTATTTTTGTTTTTAGATATAGAAATAATTGGATTTTTTAAGAAACCGAATTAATTTGATAGCTAAATGTTAGTTGATTACTAAAAGTACTTTTTATAAATAGTAATATATGATGGAAATTTTCAACATTAGGAATTATAAACATGCCTTGGGAAATAAAGTATCGACCGTATGACTACCTTCGCGCATTCGCACTTTGAATCTAATAATCTTAAAATCAGTTCAGGTATTTACGATGATCTCACCTGCTCATCGAACGTCGTTAACCATGCGATGCTGATTGTCGGCTACACCCCCACCTACTGGATCCTGAAGAACTGGTGGGGCTCCAGTTGGGGTGAGAACGGATACATGAGGCTGAGGAAGGGCAAGAATCGTTGTGGTATCGCTAATTATGCAGCTTACGCTAGAATATAATCAAATTGATTTTTTACCTACATTATAATTTTTTTTTTTACTGAACTGTAATGCTTTATTTAGTGTGCTCTACTTTTGTCTTCGACGCTAACGAACCATCCTCTAAGACATCAAGATCAGAACCAAATATCTATTTTAAAGTTTTTGGATTTTATCATATTGAAAAACATGTAATGCATTTCATTAAAAAAAAGAAAAATATGAAAAAGATTTGAATTTATATAAATAGAAATAAAGCATATCGATTGCTTAAATTATCATGCGTTCATATTTAATTAAATTTTGATTCAGATTCTTCATAAATTAGTGTTACAATTTTTAAAGTATATATACCAATATGTATTATTACTAGTTTTTCATAGTAAAAAAAAGAAATTTTTTAACGAATGTTTCCTTGATGAATGACAATATTTGTGTATGAATATATAATATTATTAGACAATTCAATGAAGTAATATTTAAAAATATAACGATGACAAATGAACCTTTGTAAACTTTACGATCTTATATTTTTGAGAAATTTTTGTTTTCTGTTATTTGTCTTGAAATCTGAAATTTTGTTAGTAAAACATAAGTATAACATACAGTTTTATTTTAAATGCTAGGTTTAATATATGTATATAAGCGTAATATGAAAACTAAAATTATCCAGGCCTTGTAAAGAATAAAATAAAATAAAAATAATCTTTGCTCATTAAAACTTTTAAAGAGATATAACAAATAACGGTAACAAGTAATTTGAAAGAATTTACGAAAAGACTGATCCATTTTAGCATGTTGAACGTCACTTTATTAAGAGACTTTATTTGAAATCCATCTTAATTGAATTACTCTCATTATTTATAAAATAATCGATAATATTCTACCATACAAACATACAAGAACGTAAGGTAATCGTAAATCTGAAAAACATCTTAAGAACATAAAGAGTACATATGTATAAATACTCACTTGTTCATGTACCTAAGCGAATTGCTTTCCACAGCTGCTAAGAAGTCACTGTGCACTAAAAGTATCGAAATAATACGTTTCAAGGGGAAGTATCGCCCCGTCATCTTGGTATTGTCGTTGTCATACACTGCCAACATTTATAGCTACGTGTTCCTACTTACCCTTATGTACGGGTGACGATGTTAGGCTTTATCAGCACCTCGGGGCCTTCACTATCTCTGAAGGTACTCACTAGAAGTATATCGTGTATTTAAGATTATTAGAATGATCATCCTGCAGATTCGATCAATGATGAGCCCTGGGATTCCAGGCGGGAATGGAAAAATCTCTTGAGCTCATCTTAAGCTTGTATATTAAGTTATGCCTTCAAGTGCAAATGGACGGTAAGTAAATATATTAAGAATTACATAAAAGGTACATGCAATTTATTCATTATCTGGTATATATTAATGAGAAATAAATTCACGATAAAATTCTGTTACTACATAACGTTGAAATTCCATTATTTTCGAATCTCTTCTTTATTTGTATCCGCATAAAAATCAATGAGATCATTGGACCTTAATAAACCGCTAAGCAATTATTGTCGCTCAAAAATAATCACAGCTAATAAGAACAATTATTCAGAAAGAAATACTTGTTTCAGTATTGAATGTCATTCTATTGAATTTTTGAATCCGAAGATATTTTTATTATTATACATTACACAAAGGAATATTTTAAAAGTTATTCAAAATATAGAAATAAAAAGCAAAAAAATTAAATATTTTGCAATTGTTTATATATCTCAATATTACTTTAAAAGTTAAAACTTTTGAAACATTCACAACTTATAGGTAACTATATAGCGAAAAATAATATTTTTGTCAAAATTGTATATTTAAATAAGATTTTATTAAATTAAGATTTTTTATTATATATTTATTCAAATTATTGCAATATATTTTATTTTCTTATTATATAACTTATATTAAATATATATTAAATATAAATTTAATGTAATTATCAATATTTTTATATCAAATGATTTTTTGTTAAAGCTCCTTAATATAATTATTTTTCCATAGTAAATTTGAATCACTTAATAATTGTTTAAATAACTCATACATATATTAACTGACTAAAAAAAGAAATTATGTAGATTAAGACAAATTTTGAACTTTGCAATTCGTCTAGTAATTATTTCATAATCTATAATTTGAAACAGTAAAAGAATAAAAATAAACTTTAAATAAATCTGAATAAACTAAAAAGTAATAATTGTGAAATATTTTATGTGATGAATAATTGAATAGTAAATAAGCAAGATTTTCAATTATCAGGAAGTTTTGGTTTATTTTATAACTATAATAAATTTACTTTGATCATAAGAATGCGCCATAAAATTAATATATAAAATTTTTTTAATATAATTTATAGAATTTATTAGAAATTATAAATATTATATAATATTAATCAATGTATACTTTGCAATCAATGTATATATGCAATGTATATTTATATGAATTTAAAAAAAAAATAAAAAGTAAATTAAAATTTTTTTTTTTATTTTCCTTGTATGAACAAACTACAAATATTCAATCATCGTCTCTAAACTACTAGACCAGGTAATCATGAAACGGAATGCGAAAAATTACATTCTCATATTTGATTATTTTACATTTTATATCGTATTATTACCAACTTAATTTTTTTAATTCATTATAAAGAATAGACTATCTCAGTGCAAATTATTTTAATGATTTTTTATTTCAATTTCATCAGAATACCTTATAATATAAATTGAAAAATATTATGAATTATATGTTACAAAGAATTTAATATAACTCTAATAGAACTTATTTTTATAATAAAATATATATAGTAAGATATAATATCATCCAAAGAGACAGATTTGCATGTATTCATGGGTTTATTCGAATTATTGTTGAACACTTTATAAACTAATGATTTTCTAATTAAGAGTGATATCAATATAATGTCGAATATTGGCAGTAAATGAAAAATCTGGAAAATGTAAGTTCCTCTCGATTTCTCAGCAACCAGACAAGACTACCTGTCTCCAGACCGATGTAACGAATATTAAATTGCTTTGATAAAGAAGGTCGATTGTGCGGTGCACGCCCTCACCACTTATATTAAATATATATTAAATATAAATTTAATGTAATTATCAATATTTTTATATCAAATGATTTTTTGTTAAAGCTCCTTAATATAATTATTTTTCCATAGTAAATTTGAATCACTTAATAATTGTTTAAATAACTCATACATATATTAACTGACTAAAAAAAGAAATTATGTAGATTAAGACAAATTTTGAACTTTGCAATTCGTCTAGTAATTATTTCATAATCTATAATTTGAAACAGTAAAAGAATAAAAATAAACTTTAAATAAATCTGAATAAACTAAAAAGTAATAATTGTGAAATATTTTATGTGATGAATAATTGAATAGTAAATAAGCAAGATTTTCAATTATCAGGAAGTTTTGGTTTATTTTATAACTATAATAAATTTACTTTGATCATAAGAATGCGCCATAAAATTAATATATAAAATTTTTTTAATATAATTTATAGAATTTATTAGAAATTATAAATATTATATAATATTAATCAATGTATACTTTGCAATCAATGTATATATGCAATGTATATTTATATGAATTTAAAAAAAAAATAAAAAGTAAATTAAAATTTTTTTTTTTATTTTCCTTGTATGAACAAACTACAAATATTCAATCATCGTCTCTAAACTACTAGACCAGGTAATCATGAAACGGAATGCGAAAAATTACATTCTCATATTTGATTATTTTACATTTTATATCGTATTATTACCAACTTAATTTTTTTAATTCATTATAAAGAATAGACTATCTCAGTGCAAATTATTTTAATGATTTTTTATTTCAATTTCATCAGAATACCTTATAATATAAATTGAAAAATATTATGAATTATATGTTACAAAGAATTTAATATAACTCTAATAGAACTTATTTTTATAATAAAATATATATAGTAAGATATAATATCATCCAAAGAGACAGATTTGCATGTATTCATGGGTTTATTCGAATTATTGTTGAACACTTTATAAACTAATGATTTTCTAATTAAGAGTGATATCAATATAATGTCGAATATTGGCAGTAAATGAAAAATCTGGAAAATGTAAGTTCCTCTCGATTTCTCAGCAACCAGACAAGACTACCTGTCTCCAGACCGATGTAACGAATATTAAATTGCTTTGATAAAGAAGGTCGATTGTGCGGTGCACGCCCTCACCAACGTAGCGGCAACATATATATATATATATATATATATATATACATGCATATGCGTCTATGCGATTGCTCAGGACAGACGCACTTTAAGCTCTTGGGAGATGTGCATTAAAAGGGGTGGTATCTAGTCCAAATGGGGTGGGAGGATGGAGAGCGAATATTTGAGAGCAAAGCGAGAGCTATGATTCGCGTTATGAGATTATCCAAACTCGAAATCATCTATGACATACAATATTCAGTGGTGCACTATTTTTTCAAACGTTAATGCTTTTTTTCATAAAGCTCAGGTTTATTATTTCTTCTCTCATTTGAATACAGTTTATTAAAATGTATATGGTTGATTACTTATAACGTTAGCGGCAAAACTATATTTTGCATAATTATATGCAAATATTTTTTAATTATTATATAATCTGTATTTCTTAAAAAAAATCATTTAGAAATATTTTGTATGTAATACATATAAATGTATTTATTATGTAATTAACATTTTATTAACGATTTATAATTTGATTTCAATTTTACTTTTAATAAATATTTTCGTATTTCTTATATGACTTTTAATAGTTTTTGTTTTAAATTAGATGAAAAATAAAATCAATGTGATATTTTATTTGCTTTTATCTTTAATTAATATCTATTAATCTACTTTAATAAATACAGTCTATATTATAATTTTTATTATATTGACTCTTATACGATACTTACGTGCAACAAATTGAATGAAGAAAGTTATAGAAAAATATTAATATAGTATAATTTTTCATATAATCTTGTATAGAATATGTAAGTCTATTCTTTAGTAATTTGGCATCAATAATAATACGAATAATCAGTCTCTTGAAATCCTTGCTCTGGCGCTGCATTCTAAAACAAACCCTTCCCTCCAATAACCAGCTTCAAAGTTCACAAATGTATGCTGATCTTAACCCAGTTCATCCGTTATTTGACTTTGAGTAAATAAATTTCTCATTGCAGATCATATAAACGCGTTGAACAAGCACTTTTACCTTTCATCCTTCATTGAATTTCAAACTCAGTAATATTTAATATAAACAGTATAACAACTATTCTTACCTTTTTATTAAACATTACAATTATTTGTATAGTTGCAATAGTAAATTTTAATATCTAAAATAATTAAAATATTTATTTATATAATACTTTAACATGGTAATTGGGCCATTATTTGTCTAAATATTCCCACTTACTTTTGCCGATTTTTAATAATATTATATTGGAATAAATATAAATATCAATAAAAACACGAATATACTCAATAACAGATAAATCAAGTAAGTGTCTGAAGATTGATATTGATTTCTGCAAAATTTTGCACTTAACATTTATTTTTACTCATTACTTTTAAGATTATTCATATTGACTTTTTAAATAATAATGTTTGAAAATGTTTTGATTTTCTGGATCGAACTGCGAATGTTCGATAGTTTAATTAATTTGTCGCCCGCTTTAGCGATGCTTAGGTAAGAACTTCAGTGGAAGGGCTGTAGAGGTGTACAGTGTGTGCAGACTTCGTTAAAACATAGTTTAATATGGTTTATTGAAAATTACATTATTAATGAGCTGAATTCACTTCTCATATATGTAATGGTTGCACTAATAGAACGTGATTGAGTAACTCCTGTTGATTAGCTCATGGCTGTAGACCCTGGCTGATAAGTGTAAATCTCGTGGTGTGCTTGCCTTAATTATCCACGTGGCACCTTAGTTAGCTGGCAACAATGAATAGGTGTTGCTATGCGGAGACTAGGCAAACTTGCAGGACATTCAAGAATAAAGCTTTAGAATGTTCGAGAATTCCGGGAAATCTAAGCTTAGGAGGTTGGAGAATTCCGAGAAATACAATGTTTAAAAAATTCGAGAACTAGAAGGCTTATAAATTTTCGAGTCAAAGGTCTTGGTAAATGCTCCAATTCCGAACAAACACATAACTATCTATAATGTACTATTTCAATAAAAACTACTTATTTATATAACTAGTATAATATATATATATATATATATATATATATATATATATATATATACATATCATAACATAAGTTAAGTTTAATTGAATTTTAAACTATTTTCAATAGTAGATATAAGAAAAATAAGCAAAATAATCAATGATATTTATTTATCTATTTATTCAGTTAAAATTCTTTTTGAATTATTTATTTATCAATAAACTTAATTGGTTTAACATCGGTTTATCGTATAAACAATTGTTTTCATTTTTGACAAATGAGAATTTAAATGCTAATTCCGATTAGCAATGAATAATTCAATCATGAAAGCAATGATTGCCAATAACATTCCCATCAACAAAATAATCAGATATGGTGCGAATTCATAAATCGTGATACTAGATGCGCTTAACAAATCTTTACGGCAGTATGGTTTCCTAAATTGCCATCTAACAGTTTCTCGATGTCGTATGCCAATCTCTGCAATTTTGGTTAATCTGTGTCGCCGAGAAATATATTTTTATTAGAATGTAAAAATGTATATTTGAAAGTAGTTAATAAAAATTATTTGTGAACGAAATTCATTTTGGACGATGCGATTTTAGCTAACACTTACATATATTGGTATGTTTATTTATATTACTAACTATTTTACTTCTTCTTAAATTGCAGTTAGGAAATAAGTCAAGATTAGATAATTCAGTACAAAAACTCAACATGTAAAAATCAATTGTTATTTAGTAGAGTGTTATTAATAAGAGAATTTTTTATTATATATTCTACTAACAAAATCAATTAACCTTGTAATTAGTATAAAATGTACAATACTATTTATGGGAAAATAAATGTAAAATAAATAATCACCCGATTCTTGATAGTTCTTGAAATGAACTATTATAGGTCACACCAAAGGCTGTGTTAGTTGGCCAACCAAGATGTACCTCATTTAACTCACAGATCTCGCGATTGTCCAATAGTTTTTCAATGTATGGATAGCTGATATCTGGATGAGTATGATAAGCGAAACCACCTTTTTGAACGAGTCGAATGCCAGTTTCAGGTTCCATATAACGAAGTGACTCTGGTAATTTTAGCCAATAATTGTGATAAAATTGTTGTATTTCCCAGTTTTGAATCTAAAAGAAAATGTAGGATAAGTACAGGTTTTTCAAAGGAATTTGATAGTTTCTTAAAATTCTCGTTTATTATCACATTCAGTTTAATGATATTTCAATGACATTCAATAATAAAGAAGAATATATTTTACATTGAAAAAAAATTGTATGTAGACCATCCACTCGGACGACATTTTTAAATGTAGTTTGGTAAGTTCGTTTAAAGAATCGTTAATCTTGTAAATTGGTTGTGCCAAGCGAGTTGAAACAATACAAGCTGAGTAGTAATTACTTATAAGTAGACTGAACATCATTATGAAGAAAAAAACAATACGTGTCGATAAATGCATCATTTGCATATATGTGCCTAATTAAAGGAAATGTATAAAAATATATAAATCATCAAAAATAACATTAAAACATAATTTTTTTTTATATAATAAATCTGATCGTTAAATTTTGTAATATTTAAAATTAAATGAATTTTACTCTGTCTCGTTTCTATTCTATTTCAGAATAATTATTTAAAAAATATTAATGATCATTCTTACCTTGCTGGCATAATGCGCCAATTATTGTTAAAGATGAGTTCGAATACGAGCTAATAGTATTATCTTCTGTTTCAAATTGTAAAATTATAGCATAAATTACTATGCCTATTACTATAAGAAGAAGTATAAAGTACCAAACTTCATTATCAAAGGATCGAAATATTACCTCTGCTTTTACCTCGTTAAATTGGGGATTACGAAATATAAAAAACGTTCTGCAACCAATTAAATTAATTTTTATTAATTTATACATTGTTAAATACATTGCTTCTCAATAGTTTTCAAATTTCATAAAATTATATAAGATTTAGTTATAATTTACGTCATTAATATTCAAACGCAATGAAAAACTTCACAATATATTTACTTACCTGAATCGCCAATCTTCGTGTACGAATTTTATGATCCGAGTTCTCTCGGCATTTACATTTAAAGGAGTACCTGTAATGTCACATGCATTTCTCTCCAGAGCTCTCGCTATTGGGCCCAATGTATCGCCTTGTTCCCATGCTGAAGACTCCAAAGCTTTCAAGCTAAATAAATGGTCACAAACATAAATGTAAGTAAATCTCAACTACGCTTTGCTTTCGTATACTTGTAAAGGACTTTGTAAGACTTTTCTTTACAATAAAAAGTATGAATTTTCAATATTTATTGGAAGCGAAACTTATACGAGAAATAATATCCATTCTCAAGGAAATTAAGTTTCCTTGCTCGAATTTTCTAATGCAGTAGAAAATAAACTTCACGACTATTCATTAATTTGCATTTATTTATATTTAATAGTTTCCTTGAATGACTAAGCAACTTAATTAAGTTTTTTCAGTATAATCACCATTGCAAGAGTAGATAAACTTAATTAACATACACATTGTTGCAAAAATGAGTTGAAATTAAATACCTATTATAATATACAATATTATTAAAATAGCATATAATTAATTTTTTAAATAATAATTTATTAATACTTATGAGTAAAATAAAATTATAAAATGTAAGTAAAAATGTAAGAATCATTCAACGAAATAGTATACAGTACATACATCAGCGGTACATCAATGAACTCTCTACTACTTTCGATTTTCATTAATGAATTAAATTACTTTCAATAATGCTAAAAAATAATGTATTTATTATAAAATTGAGATAATAATACTCCTATGAAGTTTAGCATGCATATGGATTAAAATAAAAATTTTATTAGGTTATAGATTTATATTAACGTTGATATTTAGAAAAATTGATGTGCAATGATTTTAATTTAGTGACTTAATATACTTTAATTCATATTGTACAGAAACGATGAATTTTTTATTTATATTATCTAATTACAAGAAAAAAGAAAAAGTAATGTTTAAAGGGAAACATCCGAATGTAAAACAGTAAAATTCATGAAAAAATACGATGCCAAACAGTCATAATAAAAATTATAAAGACATAATTACTTTAAAAATTAATGTGTCGCACGTATAATTAAAAAATATGTAATGAGCTACTTTTTCATTCTAATCCATCACGAAAAATAGTATTTTATTACTGTTTATGTTATGAGAAATAACGGTATTTTAACATGATTCAAAATCAATAGCTTATAATATTATTTTCAGTTTAATAAATATTTTGTATATATTAATAATTATTGTTGTACTTAAGTGTTTATTATTGTGTAAAAATAATGTTTCTATTGATTATTATTGAACTTTAAGTTTGCATCTCAAATGCATATTTATATTCAGTGTTAATTTTTATTGCTTTTTTCATGTATTACATTATTTTCTATAATATTAATTATATTTAATTTCAGCAGGTACATTAATTATACAGAGTATTAGTTAGTTGGACATGATTAATTAATGACAAACCATCATTAATAATTACATTAATTAGATTATATTACATTTATTTCTATCATTACTAATTTTTTTATCCAAAAATATTATACAAATTTATAATTCAATATTCAACTTACGAGAAATTGTACAAATCTGCGAAACTCCTTAAAATCTGAAATCCAAATTTGAATCGTGCATCCTTGGTTGCATTTGCATAATCAGACAGATAATCATCTAACGGGATATGGCTGGGTTTATATGTACACTAGTAATTTATTAAAAACAAAATTTTTATAATTTTATAATTATCCTTAAAAACAATGTAAAATCTATTTTCTAATTTACCTTAAAAAACATGGCTCTTAAAATAAAACGATGCATATTCGATCTTCTTACGAATTTAGTCTGTTTCAAACTAATGTTCAATCCACTTATCTCGTTCCATTTACCCAGTAATGTAATATTAAGCGTCGTGCCACGATCTTTCTGTATATTATAGACGTCATACAGCTGATAATCCTTACCGTCAGATATCACTGCAATCACAAATTCAGTCGAAAGTCCGAACGTACGATCGTCCACGAGTCTGAGGAGGTACTCGAGCTCCGGGCCTAATATAAGCCAATAATGTATCTCACCAAACATTCTATATTCCGCAGCCTACATCAATATAGTTGGTTAATTTTTCTATTTTCATTATTTTATTTTTTTAATACTAATCTATAAAGTACTCGCACGTAATCAGAAAGGTTTTATAAATTTTCATAAAATTATAAGCATTTAATATTAGTTAATTAATTAATACCAAAGACTAATAACATATTCATTTGTTTGTTACTAATAAATATTATATTTAATAATATTTTAATATCTTCAGAATTGAGATTTTTCGTTACTTTTATCTCCATTTTACTTACGGTCTTAAATGTCGATTAAATATACATATATATAGTAATATATATATATATATATATATATATATATATATGTATTCATATTGATATTAATTGATAATTACATTTTACTGAATGTATTTTCCGATTTTTAGCACATAATAATTTTTTATTAAAACAGCTTTCGTAAAAAATTAAGCTATTTTGTTTAATTACAATATTATTATTTAATATTATATAATCATTTCCAATACTTTTAAGTCCGTCTCTTGAAAAAATATATACAAACTTTAACTATAAACATATAACTTTCATATACTTCGGATAATACTGAAGCAATATTTTTCACATCGTAACAATGAACATCAAGGAAAATTCCTATTTTTGTATATTTTGTGCTTCCAATTGTACTTATTTTAGTATCATTGATTAATTTATGCAAGGAAACTAAAATTCCCTTTTTGTTGAACTCCTTAAATAAAGAAAATTCATCTACAATGAAAAATTAATTTATTTGTATTACACTATACTATAATTAAAATCACTTATAAAAATATAAATTTGTTACGTATTTTTATCTTAAATAATTAAGTGCTAATTACTGCTAAATTATTATATAAGTAAATACATTTTATATTATTATTAATTAAAAATACATTATATCAATTAAACTTTATATTTGTAATATACATACTACGAGAAACGAGAAATAATAAAATAGATTATTTTTATTATTATTGATTTGAATATAATCTTTTATTATAAATTGTCCAAAAATATTTCCATACTTCCTTTAATTATACGCCATTTTATAAATGGGCTTATTTTTAGCTAAAATATTTGTCTATGTATGTAATATTTGATATCATGTAATAATGTAATATTTGTAATAGAAATCGATGACATTAACTATCGTTGATTTGAATGTTGATTATTTTAATATTTATATTATATTATAATTTTTATTTTACAGTTTATGTATGTACAATTTTTATGGTAGTTCCAATAATAATAATTTACTTATGATAATTTATATTGAATAAGTTTCGCGCAATTACTAAGGAAATCACGCATATATTAAACTGTAATTATAATTTTAGTACAATAATTGATAAACTGAAGTATTATTATTAGTATTTTAATAATTCATTACAGAACATTAGTAAACAATTATGTTGGATTGTCATTCTTTTGTCAATAAATTTAAAATCAGTTTTTATATTTAACAAATGTATTCAGACTTCTATTATTAATCCAGAATAAATGTAATTACACTTTATAACCTTCAAAATTTTTTACTTAGACATAAATTTTATTGCATAGAACATTGACTATTTTACTTTTAATTTTACTTGATACTAGACTTTACTTGAACTAGATTTTTATTTCAAACTATTTTTGATGGAAAGTGATGAACATTTAAAAATTATTATATTACCTGAATTCTTATTACAAGAAAATCCGACAATAGTTGAAACATTTTTATAGTAAAAATAATCCATAATAAATTTATTATTGGTTTTAGCAAAAACATTAATCATAAATCCATAGATGAATACAAATTTACTATACATGTTGCAACTTATATACCAATTTTAATTAACAGCTTAGTAAAGTAACTGAATATTTTGAAAAACGTTTATTCTTACAATTATTTTACTGTTAATATGAATGTTTCTAATGCATTCTCCAATGATTCCACCCACCGTAAAATGAAGATAAAGACTAATAAATGTCATTTACATTATCGCGTGACTTCAACTTAATACTGTTCTATTTTGCGAGTGCAAAGCGTACAAATATATTGACAAAAATATTATTGCAGCGCCATAATTCTTCTACGTTTGAAGTTGAAAAGTAGAGAGCATATTTAAGAATATTCTTCATTTCGTTATGTATTTATAACATGAAAATGTAAGCTTTTTTATATTTTCTAAAATTCGTATAACTCTAAATATATGTTTTTATATACACATACTTATAAACCATATTTATAACTTTTATATAATTATTTTTTATAATAAATTGCGTTATGGGGCTGGAAAATTGAGTTATTTTTTTATTTTATTCACGTTTTCAAATGAAAGTAATAGTCATGTGTTATTACATCTAACATTGAACATGAAGTATGCATTTACCGATTCAAAAATATCAGATATTTATTGTTTTTATTGAACAAGCATCGCCAGAAATATTGAAATTATGTTTTCACTTATACATATAAACAATCCATGGAAATATAATTATAAATTATATATAATCTTAAGTATAATATAATAAGGTGGATTAAATCTTCATAAAAACTTCTGTATATTTTATAATTTATCTATCTTTAATGATAAATATACTCTATTTTCAACTATTCTAATAGTAATAAAATTGATTTCAAACGGTTGCAATGTTTTAAAATATCTAATGTTAATCAATAAAAATAAAAGATTGAATAATCATCAAAAACAAAAGCCTCGGGAATTACTTGGTTAATGATAACGCTTCCAGAATTGCCAATTTGAAACTTAACAGCAGCTAATAATAGAGGTATAATTAAATTTATAGTTTCAATAATGCTATCGTAATTAATTGATAATCTCTATATTTAGTTATCAATTAATTTACGAAACATATTATTAAACTTATTATTATTTAATAATAATAATAATAATAATATAATAAAGTTATTTAATGTATGATTTTAAGTTGAAAATATAGTTTTTATAAAAACTTATGAAATTTGTACGATCAACACAAATGCCAAAAATTCAACTTTAATTTAAGATTAATCTCTGTACAATAATTAGTCAATTCATTTTTATTTTGTACAACAAAATTTTATATAATCTATTGTAAGTTAATCTAATTAACTTTGAATTTTCGTATTAAATCCAATTAAGAATATATAGTAATGTAGAAACTTCCTTTCGACAAAATTACTTGGGTAATTTGAATACATATATTTAACGAATATTCTGTAAAATATATAATAAATGTAATAAATGAAATGTATAATAAAAAATATATAATATATAATATATAAAAGATATAATAGATTTTAATTCAGCTTTAATAAAATTTTGATATTTGCATATTGCCTATGTTATTAAAACTTTGCTCCTTATTAAAAGAAATTACAAAAAATATTGTATATATACATTGTTTATAAAAACTCATGATGCAATCTATTCATGATGCATATATATATATATAATTTTATTTATTATATTAAATGCTTATAATATTTATTGAATACGTACAGAACTACTACTAACAAATATATCATAAGATTAATCATAAATTAAATTGTAGTGATTAAAAGAATCTTCATTGAAGTAAAATATGCCTATTTATTTAAAATATTTTTTTTAATTTGCATCTCTACAGTTATTTAACGTAATTATATGTAATAATAATTTAATAATATTTCCAATGTAAATTTTCTATATAGATACATTTAATCTAATATTTCTATATAGATACATTTACATCTAATAAAGAAATTAATTATAAATTTATATTTCATTAAATATTTCATTAAATTGCTTATAAAGATTAATTAAGAATTAATAGAAAGGAATGTATTTCAGTATAAATAAACATTATTTTTATTAAATTCGAATCAGGAATGTATTTCAGTATAAATAAACATTATTTTTATTAAATTCGGATCAGGAAGATATATACAAAAGTAAATTTTCATCTATTGTAATTAAATAGTTTTCTCTTTAAATCAAAATATATGCTCGCGGATTATCATATTGAATAGTTTAAAGTTCATTATAGACAAATATTATTTTCTGAAGTGTATAATTATACACTTTGTGAAATTAGAATGAGATAATAGAAGATTTAATAATAAATAACGTAGTAATACAGTAAATGGCAATATTAACTTTTTATGTGCATCAATTTATTATTAGTAAAACGCGAAAGATAGAACAAGAGCTGCCGTAATTAAATTAATTATTTCGGACCTTGAATGTAAGTTCATCTTATTGCATGCTATGATATTATGATTGTATCATATAGTATTTAAGTTATGATTGTATCGAATAATGTATTAATATAGTATGTATATTAATAATAAGTATGTACAAATTCCACATTTTCATCAAATTCAAATGGTCGCCTAAATTTTGGTGTTTTGATGTCCGCTACTGTATATAGTGTGGCAAATCTCAAGGCGAGAACTGGAGTCGGTGAAATGTCACACTCGATGAATCTTAAAGAAAAGCGGCGGATGCTCCTTGCAACTTTGCTAAATAGAATGATACGAACGATTTGCTAGATTGAATGAATACAATCATCTATAAAAGATTTTATTGAACTGTCTTTCAAGTAGAAATAAATACGTTGATTAATAGAGAGATTAAAGCTGCAAGATATTTATTTATTTATTTGCAACCTTTTTTCTTTGCAATTAATGAAAACACGATTTTTGATTAATAATGAATTTATGAATTTTATTGAGATATTAATGGTCGATACTCATTGTTCTTATGTAATGTCTTTTACTATTCTGAACACATTGTTATGATTATCTTCAACTTAAGACTGATTATTAATATACTTTGCAAAATTGGACGACATACCATCCACTCGGACGACATTTTTATCGTCAAAAAATGTGTCAAAAAAGTAAAAAGTTAATTAGAGATTATTATTTATATATATATAATATAGAGATTATTATTATTATTTATTCTTTTTTGATAATGTGCATATTTTTAAAATGATGCTATCACTTTTATTTAATGT